GTTCACTTTCCTATATTTCCAAATATATATTCGAATATTGCCGCGTTATTATATATAAATAAATAAATAATTAAATACACGCGTATGTATATATAAGTATTAATATAAATATAAATATAATATATAAACTAATATATAAATACGCGTGTATTTATTTTTTTATTTATTTATATATAATAACGCGGCAATATTCGAATATATATTTGGAAATATAGGAAAGTGAACATGCATAAATATTTATTTATTTTTCCTTAATGCTCAAATGCGCCATTTGAGTAGTCGGACTCAACTAAGACTTATGCAACTTGTCGCCGTGTTGTTGGTCGGTCTTTTTGTCTGTCGGCTCTGCTTCTGATTTTTGTTGTGTCATCCCATCCTCTTTCTGCTTTGGCGGTTTTGTCTGAACTGGCCGACTCTGTACTACAGCCTGTCAGACGCCTTGTTCAATTAGTTGTACGCTTGACTGTGCTGATTTTTCCCATCCCAATAGACACCCCCTTGGCTGGGACGACTGTGAAGCCTGTGCGGCCTGTGGGCGGATACACACGATGTCAAAGCGCAATTACAACTCTCCGCTTTCACACATGCCTTTATGCGCATGTATCACGTCGTGAATATGTGTATGACCCAAATGACTTTGAGCATCTTTGATGCAGTTTGCCCTCTGAACAACCAGACCCGCCACGACTTTGCACACCCATACATGTTTTCACTATACACACACACACACGCACACACACACAAACATGCACACACTTATGCCTGGATATTGGCACACACAAAAACCTACAATTCTGCTGCAATTCCTGCCAAACTAGAACGGACCAGGCCAGGCCAGACCGGGCCTACTTATGCTTTCCGCGAGAGATACAGCTTCAAGCCGTCCCGGCTACTCCGCCCCTCGTGGAATTCATCTGCCAGCCTCTCTTTCAACCGTGCAGCCGAACAACTAATCTCGCCAAGATGGATACAACAGCGGCTGCTGCATGGCAGTCAGGCTGTTCGGGTGGCCGGGCGGACCGGATGGCTGTCCAGTGGACAAGAGTCAGACTTCCGTTTCTTGTTTCCACCGCCTCAGCGTGAGGGCCATGTGAGGCGAGGCAGAAAAGCAGACTTGCAGAATGGAGAGAGCTGCTTCGACTTCTGCCTCCACCTCCTCCTCATTCTGCTGCTTGCCTTCCTTTGCCCTCACACCTTTTGAGTTCCCTTCTGTGTGCACCTTTCCAGGGAGACCTTTTGATGCCTCATCTGTTGGTCTCGATGACACACAACACATCCGATTTCTTCACCCTTTTAGGCGGTCTGAATATTGGCTGCACTGGAGGCCGAGGCAGGATGGTCGTGGCTCTGTGACAGATGATTTGGTCGTAGAAATCCTCAACACACCGGCCGCCGATTCTCATGTATCCATGCTGAGCTCTCGAGAGCAGCTCCTTTACAGACCTCAAGAAAAGCATTAAATAATTTTCGCGAAACATTTCATCCAGCTTTAAGACCTACTGTGCATCTACCCATCGCTTATGGCCTAATTTCGCAAGAAATAAGTAAATAAATACAAAAAACAGAGGCCTGGACTTCCTTGAAAATTCACATTTGCCATGTGACCCATAAGGCGCTCGTGGCAGAGTGGTCGAGTGGTTAGCGGTTCGACTCCCGCTGAGGGTGTGGATAAGACCGATGCGAGGTCGAAACTGCAGTCCACTGGTGACTGGATGAGAACAACTTTTGAGAAAGCAAGGCTGTGTGAA